CAAGACCCCACGAACAAGACCCCACGAACAAGACCCCACGAACAAGACCCCACGGACAAGACCCCACGGACAAGACCCCACGAACAAGACCCCACAAACAGAGCCCCACGAAAAGAGCCCCGCGAACAGGCAGCACCCCACGAACAAGGCAACACAGACACACTAAGCACCCACGAACCACGACAAACAAGGCACCGCAGACACAAAAGGCACCCACGCACCACGAACAAGGCGCCACAGATGACACACCGCGGACAAAGCGCCACGAAAAACACACCACAGACAAGACCCCACGAACAAGACCCCACAAACAGAGCCCCACAGACAAGGCACCACGAACAGCACCCCACGAACAAGGCACCACGGACGAGACACGACGAACAAGACACCACAGACACAGAAGGCACCCACGAACGACGACAAACAAGGCACCGCAGACACACAAGGCACCCACGCACCACGAACAAGGCACCACAGATGACACACCGTGGACAAAGCGCCACGAAAAACACACCACAGACAAGACACCACGGACAAGGGAACAAAACCACGAACACACAAGACACCTCGAACAACTCACCGCGCGGCTTTCCCGCGGCGTAGTCCGTCACTATGGCCCCTGGCCCTCCTCAGTCCTCAAGCTTGTTCATTGCACTCGCCCCGCCTCTTCTATCCTTTTCAAAAGTGCCAAGCTGGTCGAAGTGGGTAAGCGACTGAGTGAGTTGCAAGCTTATGCGTACCAATTTCGAGGGAGAAAGACTGAGTGAAAAGCGTTTATCTAAGTGAGGCACTTAGCGGTAGCTGACTGGGTGGACCCGATGCACATCGCAGCTGACTAAGGTATATAACTATGCTAAGAAAGTGAATGAGTGAAGCCGAGCCATATCAAATGGGTATGTCGATGGCGGGGCCTTCGGCTGGTCCTTGCCCTTGTTAGACACGACAGCGCCAGACGGTGGCTCAGTCTTGGAACTGGTGCTGCTGTTGTCCTTGTTGTTGCTGTTGTTTTTGTTGTCGTTGTTGTTGTCGTTGTTGTTGTCGTTGGTCACTTCCCCCACGGCTTTGGTCACTTCCTTCTCGCCTGCCTTGGTTGCGCTTGCGGCCACCCTTTGTTCACCTACTTGGGCGTCCTTCTTGAGCGCCGTCCTCATGTTCGCGAGCCAAGTGGTGACCTCTTTACAGTTCTTCATTCCAGAGGTGTTGCCATGCACAAGCTGTTCCAAGCGAGTGACTTCACCCGCTGTGAAGTAAGTACGGAAACAGCCCTCGAGTGGGTCCATGTCTCGGACTGCCGGTATGTGCAGCGGGTCATCTGCCGCTCGTGTCACTTCTGAGTACTCAGAGGCCGAAGGTTAGAGTTGATGGGGAATGGCGAAGCGGTTCTACTCACCGCGTTGATGTTGAAAATGAGAACAACTCGCCACAAATGACTTAAGAAACATCATCCCCACAGGTGGCGGCCGTGTTAATGTGTTCTAAATAAGCACAACCCGCCACAGCTACCACAGATAAACACGTCGCACGGTGTCAAGCTATTTTTTACAGAAATCCGCCCATAAATGTCGAAGATCTTGATGAGGCGGTAATTCGGTGGGTTATGACCAGGCGTACCGACCATCTTCTTGAAGGCGATGTCGACGGCGAACGTCAGCCACAGCGCCTGTTTGATGGATAGGGGTGTCGGGCGCGGTTGCTTGCCCATGATCACAGTGCCAGGGGCCACCGGATTGCCATCGTCGTCACTCTCAGAGAGTGGAGCGCCGTCGCCGTCTGCACCAGAAACCGCAGCCAAACCAACCACATTCTCCACGACATCTCTGTCCTTCTCCGTCTCCGTGTACGCCGTAGTGAAGAGCGTGTAGACATAGCTAGTATCTTGCATGAAGCGCTTGATGGTGCCAGACTCGATGGCATTTATCGCGGACTTCTTGTTGTTCTGTGCCCCGGCTTCGTCATCAATACAGAAACGCACAAGAGCTAAGATATCCTCGCGGGAGATGTATCTGCGTGAGTGGAAAGCAAGAGATGACTGACGTTGTTCTTGTTGGTCGAGAATATGTATAGACAAAGACATCAAAGACAGGCTATAGACAACTATAGACAAAGACACCAAAGACAGGAAGCTCTAGACAGTAGTACTCGAGTTGTTTCGGCTCATCCGCGCCATGGACGAAGGCCCACGCGTGGTCTTTCATATCCAGCAACCAAGCCAGCAAGCTCTGCTCCCGTCGGGCCTTGGTTGACCACTTATTCTGGAGGCGGGTCAGGATGGCCCCTGACTCTTCTTGATTGAGTCGACCGAAAACCTCTACTGCAGTGCCTTCCTCTCGCAGTCTTTTCATAGACTGCAACCACATAGCCAAGCGAGAACCGTTCTTATCCATATCCGGCGCCTTAGTCAAGAAGACGTGATCTGTTTGTGGTGGTGTGTGGTGGTGTGCTGATTCTGTCGCAGTTGGATGATAGGTTGTTTGTAACAATCGCGAGTAGTTGGATGATAGGTAGTGCGTAACAATCAAGAAGAGCACTGACAAGCACGAGCGAGTACCTAAGTAAGTCCTGTAAAGCATCTTGTCCGAGATGTAGGTCTGCGCGCTGGCGCCGCCGCCGCCAGCAGTGTCCGGATCGACAACCCACGATAGCATGCCTTTGAGCGACTGAAATGGCGGGAAATTAGTGGCATCGCCGATTTGGTCCATTTTTTCGAGCGCCTTCTTGGCCGCCAATTTCAAGTTATCCCAAGTCTCATCAGCAACATCCGCGCGATCGAATGACTTATACGTTAGAAAGGGGCTAGGATAGGGCGATACATCGCACCTACACAGGGGATGGAGAAGGCGATAGCTACGCAAGACAAGGTGAAACTCACTACACAAGGAGAAGGCGATAGCTACACTAGAAGACATCCACCATAAGAACAGCGACACCGCGAAAAAGTTGAAGAGTTTCAGCGTGTGCTGCGGGGCCATGTCCGTGCCACACAACGACAAGAGGATCTTTACTGCTTCCGGCATGTTCGCGGAGCACAAGACCTCTTTCATTTTCTCCGCATATTGCGCAGGGGAGAGAACTGTCTCCTTCTCGAACGCCTGGGTATGGGGTGTTTTGTGGAGTGATAGTTGACGTCTGTGTTAAAGTCACGTAGTTAATCACCAAGGCACCAGTTGAGTGCATAGTAACACGAGACAGCTGGGATAACAATGAAAGCAACAGCGTGATAGTACCGCAAAGAAGCTGTCGCCCTGGCTCTTGGGAGGCGAAGACACTGGAGGCTTACCAGATGCCCCCTCACCGTCTGCCTTCGGCTTCAGGCTCGACGGACTCACAGCTGTACCACCGCCAGTACTCGCAGCTGTACCGCCGCCAGTGCTCGCAACTGCACTGCCAATGCGGATAGTATCGTTGTCAATCGTCGACGCGCCGGGCTGCCCAGAGGTTGAGGACTGCGAGCACGCGGGTGTGATCGTGACTGGCGTGGCTCCAGGTCCAGCACCAAGGACGGAGCGAGACGAGGCGCCCCCCAAAGACTGAAAGGACAGTCTGCTCATCTGCTCTTGATCTTTCTCGAGCTGTAGCATTTTGCCGCGCTCACCCAGAGCTAAGCCGCCTGTGTTTGGTGATGGGGTGGCATTGGGTCATAGTCAGTGCACTCTTTAGCCCCTTGTTGTATAAATAGGTGTAAACGAAAGCGATAGGCATAGCTAGACACAAGGAGACACTGCGTGGCTACTTCTGGAACAGTGGGTGGTAAGAAAGGTAGAGAGTTAAGCACTACCCGCCGCAGTGATAGCTGCATCTTTCTCAGCACCTTGTAGATCCTCAGTAACCTCGTAAGATTTCGAGAATTTGACAGCAGCATCCCAATAATAGGGGACCAACGGCTTCAACTTCGGAGGGAGATTCTCAGTGACCGCAAAATACCCCGCTGGCGCATTTTCGATGTCCGCATCGTCACCCAGAATAAGGGGCTCACCGTTGATATTCCCAGCAAATTTCGCACGGTTCTCCGGAGTGTCTTTGATGAGAATCACCGTTGTGCGCATCTGGGAGGTGTTTGGGGATGCGGATAGGTCATGATAACATAATACTAGACGATAAGAGAAAAGAACAACTGTGATGGTGTGAGGTTGTCTGACGATGGTGAGTTCTAGTCCGTTGATGAGAGAAAGGTAGAAGTTAAAGACCTGGCCGGTTTTCTCCTTTTTGAAAGTCACCTTCGCAGTACAGCGAGCACTCCACTCACGTAGCTTGCCGCGGGTCATCGATCCGACTGCGAAGTTTAGGTCCTGGGCAGCCATGCGAATCCCGACCAAGTGACGCTTCTCTTCGTCGCTGAGCAGCTCAGCGAAAGCAGTGCGAGACAGAATACGCTTCGCGAAGGACCCGCCTAGGTCGATCCCTTCGTCCACGAGTTCATTAGCTTTCGCAATGAGCTGCGCCTCCTTCTCCTTATCGCCGGAGATATCGACTCCGACTTTCGGCGGCATTTTGATTTCTTCTGGAAGTAATTGATAGGCTAAGCCTCCACTTCTGTAGCAGTTTAGGTCTTACGGATACGGTGTGCTTTCTGTTATTGTACTGCCAACTCACGTCGTATGTAGCTTCTACGTCTATCTTGCTGTTTATGTAGTGATGATGTGGCGTCCATCGACGACGAAAGACAGACGGAGAAAAGGAGAAGGCAAGCAGCGGCCTCCTTTGTGTTTACTTGATCCGCCTAACCAAATCCAAGTCAATCAAGTACTTCTAAACACGGTGCCAATTATGTATCTAGATCAGAGAAGCAAGACGATGAACGTGACAACATCTACACAGCACACGAGCATGATATTGACAGAAAAGAGAGTCGCAGAACTAGATCTAAGCCAATCACATAGACCCTCACGGGGCACGCCAATGAATTACGTAGATCGGAGACACTGAAGAAGCACGGCGGTAGGGATGATAGTGACGGAAATGCCTGACTATGTCAACTTGAGGCAGAGAGCCCAAGCACCACCAGAGGCGGCCGACTATGCTCCCAGGCCTCTGCTCACTTCCGTGGCCACTGTGTCAAACGTCAAAGATATCTATCAGACCTCAGTCCTTTGGAGGACAGTGCTACGACTGCCTACGCCACATTATCATTGTGGAGCGTAACAGCCACGGACGGCGAGGTGGCAAGTAGATACGTGGCGCGGAACTCTCGGCCTATTCATATTCAAGTCAGAAAGCAAGAGGGCTCCTGGCTTGGGCCTCTCGGTCTATTTATGCTTCACAGGTCTGGATCATGCTCAATCTCGATATTATGACGTTCCAAAACATCCAACGAAGGCAGTCACATGTAAGGCGGAGGGCCATGATTACGGGGGAACAAAGTCATTGCAGAGGAAGCGTTTCTGAACCTACTCACGGGGCACAGCTCTAAACTCGATAAGAAGAAAGACAAAGAGGGTCACGCGGTTGCCTTACATCGCTGTGACTTAGTGGTAGAGTGCGTGGCTTTTGTTGTTGAGCATACTCCCCAGGCTCTTTCCCCTCCCTCTTTTTCACTACTGCAAGGAAGAGCTCAACCAGGTAGAAGAGTGTCACCCAAGTCGTTCTACGGAGACGGAATGCGCCTCCGGCGGATCACCGGCGACGCACTCGCCGGCGCGGCGGTACTAGACTGGCGGCCTCTCTTGTTCTTTTTGCTGGTTGCACTACCCGACGGCGTTAGGGTGTCAGCCTCTGCGTCACGCTTTTCGAGACGCTTTCTGGCCACCTCTAGGCGGTCTACCAACTGGGCAACTTTTACGATGTATGCCTGTAATTCTCTCCCTTTTCTACCGCTCCGCTTCTCAGCATCCCAGACTTTGTCCTTCTGTTGCTTCAAGCGCCTGGCAACGCATTTGATGGCCGATAGCCTCAACTTCGAGACCCCCACACGACGCCGAAGTGTCCCGCGGCCCCACAACTCCGCGTCTCGCATCTGTGAGGATGGGACGCGTTCTACGTTTTCCGTGAGTCGACTGGCAACCCGTTCGAGGCTGACGAGGTCACTGGGAATCGCCTCGACGTCTAGGGCTTGGAAAGGCCACCACTCTGACTCATCACCACCAGAAGCCTCTACATCCAACAGCGCCGGCTGCGAACTCGTCGACGGTGTTCCAGAAATGGCGCAGACGCTGCATCTCGCTTCCTGTTCTTCTTCCACCTCCATTATTGCGCCTAACCGGGGTGCCGGAGTAATAACACCACCGACAACAAGCGCAGCCGCATCTTCTGCCTCTTCGTTCGCCGCTGTCGCTTTCGATGTCGCTGGCATTGGTTGCGCTATCGGGCTAGTCGATGCGGAGTGGTTGTCGGCTATCACTGCCGCCGCACGGCTATCGAGTCCGAGCACGGAGCCCACCCCATGCTTGTTCCTGCTGCTGCTCGCACTAATACCACCACCACTACCACGCCGACCATGTGACGACGCAAGGAACTCAGAGACGCTAGGGTTTACACTCCGTCTCATGTAGTCAGGTAGACAGTGCACGCCAGTCACTGCGTCGAGGTCGAGGCCACTCGGCGACACCATAGCACGGCGCTCGCTATCGCTATCGACATGAACGATGGGTGGGGAGACAGTTAAAAATAGAACACAGACGCGAACCTAGTGAGTCAGTAACACCAAGCAAGAAGGTGGCCAATATTGATAATTAAAGCACAAAGCGCGCGACTCTTGTGGAGCTTCCTCGCCATAAGTCCCACCCTTTACGGGGGCGCCCCTCTCTTGCAAGGACGCCTGGTATCGTTCGCGATATCTCGG